TACTCCTTACTCCAGCTTACTCCAGCTTACTCCATGTATTGTAGACCAGCCTTCACGTCTACGGTCTGGTCTACAACGTGTCGTTAGTCAAAAGTCGGAACTACGTATATGTCAATTCTTTTTCTTTCCGGGTGACAGCAAAAGAACCGACGTACAGTTCCGACTTCTGACTAACGACTCGTAAGACCGGGCCTACGTCTTGAGATAGTCTTAATCACTTTACGGATTGTCCTCTGCCCATCAGCCGGACAATACGGCAAGGGCGATTCTCGAAAAAGAGCGCGGCTTTCACGGGTTGTTGCTAGTCGACAATACCGAAAACCATCTGCAGCAAGTTACAGAATCCCCGTACCGGTCTCCCAGACCTCTGACGCTTTGCTTTGACAAGTGAGTGGAAGTGGCCGCTTACGTTATCTACGCCTTGAAAACTCAGCGAAACGCGATAATTGTCCTCGCTCCTCGGAATCACGCTGTCGCGACGTCCCGCTGGAATAACGTCCCGAAGCGATTTGAATCCCCCAATTCAACGTCCAACGTAAGGAAGGTACGTTCGCGGGCCGCTATTGGCGCTGAAAGCATCCATTATTATTAAAGAAATATTATGCGTGGTCTACAATGTGAGTCGCAGTCGTAGTCGTAAGAATAATCGACTGCGATTGGCCAATTCTTATGCGTCTGACTGAATTGACCAATCGCAGTCGATTATTCTTACGACTACGACCATTGTAGACAGAACCGCTAGGACTATTCGGTGGCCTGACGTTGCACAAATCCAATGTCACCAGACCGTGCCGCATGGCCGTCGTGACGTCACCCACGGTCTGCGTTACAAGAGCCGTGCCACGTATTTTTGCCGTTTGAGCGATCTCGCCGAGGCCGCCGAGATCGACAATTGGTTTAATGTCTTTCACCTGCTTGTCCCGAGTGACCTAAGAAGCTCGCAGCAGGCATGGGGTCATCCCAAAGCGTGGAGATACCGGGAGGCGGTACGGAAGGTTACCACGTATTGAGGGTAAGGTGGACCTGTCAAGAGCAACACCCTGGGATATCGCTCGCCCATTCAAAGTCGTTCGCGCACGAATGTCGCGGGGAATAACCACGGGAGTTGCGGCAAATTACACCCGAGTGGCGCCCGCGTATCCACCAAAATTCAAGCCGCTCCGCGTGACCCGATTCGCCCGTAAATTCAACATATTGGGCCACCAGTGGTGTCATCCGCGGCCTGTCATCCCTTGATCTTTGTTGTTGTACGCCGCGGAAGTTGGCCCAGAATCTTTAATTCGTCCCCCGACAACTCTCCGCGAAACGGTACTCAAACTCGAAGCTTTGCCCCAGTCAAAACGTGAGACGTGACATTTGTTCCTCTTGCGTTGGGTGTCTTGTATCTCGCTCTTTTTCCTCTACCCCCGATCTGGAATCATAGACATATCGGAGTCCGTTTGGAGTCGAGTACGAGGATTGTGCGCTGGTCTGGTAATCCGAAGACCCGGGTTCAAAACCAAACAAAACGTTGCTGGTTTTTCGTTCGATCGCCACATAGCGAAGTGGATATAGAGAGAGGTGTTATAAGAGGTTTGGGCACGTTCCTTCAAAAACGCCTTGTAACCCTAAGGGGAATCAATAAAATGTACTAGTACGCGGACGTGAAAAAGCGTTTCTTACTTTCATTTAATTATTTGTGTGTTGAAATAAACTTTTCTAATTTGGGCTTTGATTGGTGTACACAAACGTACGGTGTTCAATATCAGGAAATCAGAGCCCAAATTAGAAGAGTTTATTTGGTATAATAAAGTTTATTGATTTCCTGATATTCAAGACAGTACGTTTGTGTACACCCATTGTGTACACCAATCAAAGCTCAAATTAGAAAAGTTTATTTCAACACAAATAATTAAATGAAAGTAAGAAACGCTTTTTCACGTCCGCGTACTAGTACATTTTATTGATTCCCCTTAGGGTTACAAGGCGTTTTTGAAGGAACGTGCCCAAACCTCTTATAACACCTCTCTCTATATCCACTTCGCTATGTGGCGATCGAACGAAAAACCAACAACGTTTTGTTTGGTTTTGGACCCGGGTCTTCGGATTACCAGACCAGCGCACAATCCTCTGCGCCACGATCGCCACACTGTTCACGTCCGCGTAATTAAATAAATTAGTAAGGCTCGTATGTGTTAAACACAAATTTCAAAGAATTTAAAGGACTCGGAGCCGTGACAGGGTTGGTAGTGTCTAAATATTGATGATATTTTTTCGCAATAAATTTAGAATAGAATATTTAGACACTACCACCCTGTCACGGCTCTGAGTCCTTTAAATTCTTTGAAATTTGTGTTTAACACATACGAGCCTTACTATCTTATTAAATGCTTCTACAATAAGAAATAAAAAAACGCTTGAAACGTTGGACAAACGCAAAATTAGATAAAAGCTCTGTATAAGTGGTATAATCAACAAAGATCCAGTGGTATTAATGTACAACAGGATCTTTGTTGATTATACCACTTATACAGAGCTTTTATCTAATTTTGCGTTTGTCCAACGTTTCAAGCGTTTTTTATTTCTCAGATCAGAGACTCAGTATCAAGCCTCTTATAACACCTCTCTCTATATCCACTTCGCTGTGTGGCGATCGAACGAAAAACCAACGTTTTTGTTTGGTTTTGAACCCGGGTCTTCGGATTACCAGACCAGCGCACAATCCTCTGCGCCACGATCGCCACACTGTTCACGTCCGCGTAATTAAATAAACTAGTAAGGCTCGTCGTCATCAAGGATACTTATCATTGGCTGAAGCGTTTTAAAACGAGACATGGCATTATGGATTCTTTGCGCGAGGCACCCTGCAGTGAACCTTCAGAGTCAGAAAAGAAAAACAGTACCGAAGACAAAGTTATTGCAGAAGAACCTATAAAAGTTGAGAATTTGCTTTCTTCGTCATTTTCATCTCCAACTACTTCTACACCTACCAAAAATTTCGTCTGTAGGGTTGAAATATCTGTAAAGGTTGCGAATTTCTTTTCGTAACCGGTTTAACAATTTTAATATTTATAATGATGTAATAACGGAAACAATGCTACGGTGGCGAAGTTATTATATATGTATTATACGTTTCGGTCCCTTTTTAACCTTTGACTGAATTTTTATTTTATTTTTGCGCACCACCGACAGCGCTAGACTCGCATTCGCCGCCGTAACATTGTTTCCGTTATCATTGTCACGAGTTTTTTAAATTTGTATAATGATATAATTTAATAATTTTATATTATTTAGTCCTGTGTATCATATTGAAGCATTTTTGTATTAAACGCATTAAGTGGCATTTTATAACACTATATACAAGAAATACGTGTACATTAAGATGTGTTATCAGTCTCTGACCGTTTACTCGTATGTTATTTCATTAGTTTGGATTAAACGTGACGCAATGGTGGATTACATTTACGATTTTGCTATCCAGAAATGGACGAGAGGCTCAAGAATGATCAGTGTAAACATAAATTATAACATCTTGCGTATATTATGTTTTAGTTGCGGACAATTCGTGTTGGTACATTCAATTTAATTTGCCAATTGCTGATATGAGGAGACTTTGCTAAAAATAAAAAAAAACTATTAAATATAGAGGAAATCCACCATAAAATTTATTGCCCTTGGCGTGAAATCTGTTCAATGGAAAATCGATCGTTAGATCGTGTAATCGTTACGAAAAGAGATTCGCGATTGGATTTGAACGTTGAAAACCCACTGTCTCGCATTAGAATCCTATGTCATAACAGAGGACTTTCCTCTACATTAAGTACGTCCTGCCTGGCATTCAAATGTAATTGATGCCCTGTGTCCTTTTGCAGGTTCAGGAAGGTTCTCCCGGGCAGCAAGCAGGACTCGAGGCATTTTTCGATTTTATAGTAGCAATTGGGAATACTCGCCTGGTATGTTTACTTGCGCCTCCTACTCCGATGGAGATACACATTTCACACGCGGTTGCGTTAATCTCCAATAAAAAATGTTACATGTTTTGCCGTAGGACCAAGATAACGACACTCTGAAGGAGCTCCTGAAGGTTGGTGTAAATAAGGAACTAACAATCACAGTGTACAGTAGTAAAACACAGTCCGTAAGACGGACAAAAATCGTCCCGAGTATGACATGGGGTGGACAGGGTTTATTGGGTGTCAGTATACGTTTCTGTTCGTTCGAGGGCGCCAACGAGAACGTTTGGCATGTGCTCGTGAGTACGAAGCTTATATACAGACGCCGGATTAATTTTGCACAGGGAGTTATCAGAGAAACGCCGATACTTAAATTTACAGGAAGTACATCCGTCGTCACCCGCCGAGTTGGCCGGTCTACGGCCGTTCACCGATTACATTATCGGCGCGGACTCCGTTCTCCACGAAAGCGAAGATTTATTTACCTTAATAGAGGCGCACGAATCGCGTCCCCTCAAGCTATATGTATATAATACCAAGGATGACTCCTGCAGAGAGGTGACCATCACGCCCAATAACACCTGGGGCGGGGAAGGAAGGTACGGAGCTTTTTCGCGTGGCGTTTCGGATCCGGTGGTCGCCAGTTAACATCTCGGCGCGCGGACGTTAAATTATTCTACCTTTATTTTTTGCAACAGCTTAGGGTGCGGAATCGGATATGGATATCTACACAGAATACCTGTCAGGAGCGTGCCGGAACAGAAACCTACCAATTCATATGTGGTAAAAGATTGCATTGTGTAACATTGTGCTGAATAGTCTGAAAAAATCTGTATGCATGATAGCACTGTAATGGATAGCTTTACAAGTTTCTC